TACATTACTATCTGCCTCTTCAGCTAAGTCATTAATAGATTGTAAATCATTGATGCCTATGCTGATCCTTGCAACACTTTCAACCTACCAACATGAAAATGCTTCCTTTATTCCTGATGTGGAGGTGCCAGTGTTGGACTGAGGTGGACAAAGTCAGAAGTCAATTCTGAGGAAGAGTCACTGGATCTGAAACATGAACTCTGATTTTTCTTCATAGATGCTGCCAGACCTACTGAGCTTTTCCAGCAACTTCTGTTTTTGTTCCTGATTTACAGCATCCACAGTTCTTTTCATTTTTATTCAGAAGTTACACAACAGGTTATAGTCAACCGGTCACACAACAACAGGTGGAGTCTTCACATGCTGAAGGAGCAGCACTCCAAAAGCTTGTTATTTCAAATAAACCTGTTAGACTATAACCTGGTGTTGTGTGACTTCTGACTGTCCTTTATTCCATCTGTTATTCTAAACAATCCTCTCCATTAATATATCACCCCAAATTCTATGAGTCCTTATCTCGCATAATAGCTCCATCTGTGGCACTTTGTTGAATACCTTTTGGAAATCCAAATTTGCTCTGCCTTCCCTCATCTACTCTATTAGTCACATTGGTGAAGAAATGTTGATAAATTTGTCAAACAGGAACCTTTTTGTAAAACCATGTTGACTTGTTCAAATCATACCGTTCTTTTCCAATTACATCGATAAGACTTCCTTAAGGTTAAGGGGTGATCTGATTGAAGTCTTCCCCACATTAACAGGAAATGACAGGGTAGATAAAGAAACTATTTCCGATTTTAAATCTGTGACAGATACACTTTTAGTACGCAAAGGTATGAAAGGACATGGGCCAAAGGCAGGTAAATGGAGTTATACCACAAATCAGCCATGACCTCATTGAATGCTGGAACAGGCTTGAGGGCCTGAATGGCTCACTCCTGTTCTTTTGTTCCTGTCTTAATAGATTTCAGTACTTTATTGTTTGCAAATGTCAGGCCAATGGGCCTGCAGTTCCATTTTCCCCCCTCCTTTTCTTGAATAGCAATGTACAACTGCTAACTTCTAATCTGCTGTGATTGTGCCAAATGTAAAGAATATTTTCATATATAGAATCAGAGTCCTTAGTGTGGAAGCAGGCCATTTGGCCCATTGAGTCCACATTGGCTCTTGAACAGCCTCCCACCCAGACACAACCCCCTACTCTACCTCTGTAACCCTACATTTCCCATGGCTAATCCACCTAGTTTGCACATCCTTGAACATGACAGGGCAATTTAGCATGGCCAATCCACCTAACCTACACATCTTTAGACTGTGGGAGGAAGCCGGAGTACCCGGAAGAAACCCATGCAGAAACAGGGAGAAAGCGCAAACTCCACACAGTCGCCCAAGGGTGGAATCAAACCCAGTGGTAACCACTGAGCCACCGTATCACCCTATATATTTTGAAACATCAAAGCCAACGCACCTACTATCACTGGAGTTACCGCCTTCAAAACCTTAGGAAGTGGGATATCAAATCTGTTGGATTTTCAACCCATTGAGCTTTTCCAGTTTCCTTTGCCTCTGAACCTCCCTTCATTCACTGGCTAAATTTTTCACTCTGACACTGATTGCGTATACCTCTAAACCTCAAACTACTTTCATTATTCCTTAGCTCAGCAAGATATGGATGCAACAGACAGAATCCTTCCTCTTCAGCCCCTTTGAAGCACCATGCAACATTTTATTCTGCTTAAAGTACTACATGAATGTTAGAGGGATATTAAACAGAGGCAGTTAGTACCGAGGTAAATCGAAGCAACCATAGCTTTATTCAAAGAGCTGTTTTCTAGTTAATATTGATCCACCAACCAACAGATTATGTTGTTTCCTACGTTATTGCTGTTTATTAGACCTTGCTTACAAATTAGCTGCAGCACTTATCTAAATTATCAGATTCTTTAATTCCTTCAGCATCCTCAAAGTAATGCACATTTTTCTTAATTTCCTCCACTATTATTCCCCCACCCCTTTCAACACTGGATACAAACACTGCCCAGCTCAAAGATTATCCAAAATTAATTGAATTTAATACCTCAAGTATTTGAGCCCATAACCATACACTGACTGTTCTGTTAAAAATTTAGGTTGTCAGCAAATTTCAGCATTGAACAAACTATCCACTGACTGAAATTTTCAGACATTATCCAGAAAAGACCTGTTTATTGTTTAAATTTTACAAATTAGGTCAAGATGCAAAATTAACTGGCACTAATGATCGGTCTGTAGTGCAAGAGTGGGATTAATTGGTCTAAAAATAAATCACTTGTTGGACAACATAAGGCCATGACTGGACATCAGCAAGTCTTCACATCATCTAAATCTATTTCCAGATAACATTAACCATGAAACAAGCGCAGCTACTATTCCTCAGTGGTTGTCACTTGATCATACATCATTTGGTACCAGGAACCTACATTACTATCTGCTTTATTCAAAATCATGAATTATCCAGACAGGACACTGTAGGGGCTTTGAAAAGAAGCCAGTATATCTTAGGGAGTAAAGTTTTCCACATTTCTGAAAGGGTCATGCTCAAATGCTGGGCATCATTACTTGCCAGACAGCTAGCCAGCATTAACTTGAACAAAAACATGTTAAGTGAAGATACTCAACCTCACTGAATACTGAGAGCTGTTTCAGTGTTGAGGATGCCAACTGGACAGCCTTTTGCAACTTGCAATCAAAAAGGACTTTGATTTAACATGTATAAAGATTTCATAGAGGTTCCAAATATCACTTTTTCTAATTATTCACAGGACATTGGCTGGGACAGCATTTATTGCACAACCATAATTACCTTCAACAAGGTCAGTGCAGAACTTGAAAGGCAGCTTGGAGGTAACAGTACCCCCATATTAGGGCTGCTCATTTGGCAGATGCTGTCTAAAGGAGCTGGTGTACCAAACAGGCAGCTTCTTTGTGTCAAGCTCCTTAGAGCATTATCATAAGCTGACCATTAAGGTGATGTCAGCAATTGAGGTGCATTACTCACCACAATTCAACTCTGAAATGCTCTTGTGAATAAAAGATACAGCGCTTGTGAATACAAGATACAAATGTGTCTGGGCCAGTTCAGTTCCCAGTCAATGGTAAATTCAAAGCTGTCAACAGTGGGAGACTTAGTGATACTAACACCCTTGAATGATATGAAACAATGATTGGATTCACCTTTATTGCTTGGCAGTGTGGGCATGTCCCTTGTCACAGATAGCAGCCTGCCAAAAACCTCAACCAGAGATTGTAGATTCTCCAGCATCTGCAGTTCCTACTATAACAAGGTGTAGAACTGGATGAACACAGCAGGCCAAGCAGCATCAGAGGAGCGGGAAAGTTGACATTTCAGGCCTAGATCCTTCAAGAAAATCCCCATTTTCTGAAGGGTCGAGGCCTGAAACATCAACTTTCCCGCTCCTCTGATGCTGCTTGGCCTGCTGTGTTCATCCAACTCGACACATTATCTCAAAAACCTCAACCATCTTTGTTCCAGACATGACTAACCAGTTGACAGGATTTCTTACCAATTCACAAACTCACTTGGTGGGGTTCCTTGATATGACATTGGGTAAGATGGCAGCAAAGTAGGATACACTGGCCAGGGTTTGTCCACTGCAGCCCCAACTCCAGACTTGGGAGTTCTTCTCCTGTCTTTACTCCCAACCTCTCACCTGGCCCCCTGAAGGGAGCAAACACCAGTTACACACAGGAAAGTGAGTACACAAAGGGGAGGCAATGGCCTAATGGTATTATCACTGGACTGTTAATCCAGAGACCCAGATAATGTTCTAGGGACTCAGGTTTGAATCCCACCATGGCAGTTGGTGGAATTTGAATTCAATAAAATGCCAGTGTACTGGTAAATATATGGCCTTTCTACCCTGTTAACCAAGGCTTCAGTTCATGTCCCATCTGCTCTAGGTGGGTAACATCTGAACAGGTTGATTAGAGAAACTGGTAAACAGCACAGCCCAACAGCCAATCTAATAATGACTGAATCCATTGTCAGGGGAAATCCCATCTGGTTCACCAATTTCCTTTAGGGAAGGAAACTGCCATCCTTACCTGGTCTGGCCTACATGTGACTCCAGACCAACTGCATTGAGCTGCCCTCTGGGCAATTAGCCACAGGCAACAAGTGCTGCCTGGCCAGTGATGCCCTCATCCTGTGATTGAAAATAGAGAACATGGCAGCAGCCAGTGGGCAAATCATGTGGAGGCTCCTTGCACTGGTCTGCTGCAGAGTCCTTGGAGAAGGGCTAATGTTCATCTTAACTTTGCTTTTTTTCTTCATTTCTCTATTCTGTAATGAATTATTGTACCTAGTTACTCTGTACTAAGATGGCACTATGTCAGTGACAAAGATAGCAAGGACTGCAGATGCTGGAATCAGATAACAGTGTGGAGTTGAAGCAAACCAGGCAGCAGAGCAGGAAAGTTGATGTTTGGGTCAGGACACTTCAGAAGATTTTTTTCAAAGAACCAAAGCTTACCATAGGAAAAACTATTTCCACAAAATGGACATGATTTTTGAAATTGTTACATCACTCAAAGCTCTCATTAGGAAAATTTAACCCAAATGCTGTAAAGCTTTAGACTCCTAATGGATATTTAATGCTTTCAAAACATTTCCACTGTTACCTTTGGACAGTGACCATTTAAGAACACTGACTCACTCAAAAGCCAACAATTTCAAACAAATTAAGTACAGATTTGCTACAATTACTTTCCTAGTGTGCTGGTAAATATACTGGCCTTTCTACCCCCTTTACTGAGACTTGGGTTCAAGTCCCACCTGCTCCATTTCCCTACTCATCCCTGGGCCCCAATTTGCACAAGTCAAACAGTTCATCACTGAGCAATCCAACTACTACCTAGGCAACACCACCAGAAAATATCCCTGACACTGCTAATAAGCCAGTCTGCAAGGAAGATTTCATGTAAATAAATTTAGAAATCACTCAGTCTTGAAGATGTTTATTCATATAACATCAATATAATGGCATCAGCTTAAAGGCAAAACACTAGCCACAGCAACATTGGAGGGTTAATTATTCTAGGTTGATGTTCATCAGGTCCAATGCACTGCATGATTTTCCATCAAGGGCATCACCACACCTGTAAGTAAACCCACAAAACAAAATGAAACTTCTAAAAACTTCAACTATACCAAAAATCACATTACAACACTGATCTCAGTCCCATATCCGCAAGCATCATCCAACAGTCCACCATGAATTGTTTGTCATCATAGATCAGCAATGTTAATCATATTTAAATTCACCATTTAAAATATGTCAGTACTTTGCCAGTCAGAAGCAGGCAACAAAATTCCCAGCCACTAGATAGTTAGACCTCTTACCACAGAATGCCTTCAATCCCAAGCAGCTGTCAGAGACATCCCAAGCAGCTTCTGTAATTACAACCAATTTTTGGGTCATTAAAGAGTCAACAGCATTCCAGAAACATATTTTAATTAACTCTGACCACCACAGAACAATCCAGGTGAGATTTCAGTCAATTAAGTTTTGCTATACCTACAATACTGACCACAAGACTGGTAAACAGGTCTCATGGGAAAGGGTGTAGGATATGTTGCAGCACAGTTATTCAACTTCAGTGATCTAAGTCATAACTCAGGTTTCAGGATTCTAGAATCCCTAGTGTGGAAGCAGACCATTTGGCCCATTGAGACCACACCAAACCCCTGAAGAGCACCCCATCCAAACCCACCAACCCCATTCCATCCCAGCAATGCTGCTTTTCCCCTTGGCTAATCCACCTAGCCTGCTCATCACCAGATGGTGAATTTAGCACAGCCTAACCAGCATATCTTTGAACTGTGGCAAGAGACACAAGGCAGAAATCCATGCAGACATTGAGAGAATCTGCAAACCCAAAAGTCATCCAAGGGGAAAATCAAACCTGGGTCCCTGGCACTGAGACAGCAGTGATAAGCAGTCAGCCATTGTACCATCTATTGATTATTTTGTTTTGATTATGTCTTACTGCAATGATGTTGTATATGCAGGATGCCTAAAATGCAATTGAATCCAACAAGATCACAAGCAAAATCAGTCAAGTCATTAAAACCTACCTTCAGGTACCCATCCCCCATAACAGGCAGGCAGAAATCAGGGACTCTGCAAAGATATGTAAAAATTACTCAGTTATACACTTTGATCTAAAGAAAATTAAATGCTTAAGACATGTAGGCAGCCATATTTTATTCAGCCATGTCTAACAATGACACCCACTGAAGATTCACTGCATCAAGATGTAGGAGAGTCGAGTGACAATCAGAGGAAATACAGGTCCAATGCTGTCAAAGTCTCTCCAATTTTCTTGCATGTTGTTGGAGAATCCACAGTTATCAACTACGAAGCTGCAGCTCTCGGTTACCATGCTTGAGGATGACCAGATCCAGTACACAAATTTCCAAAGCAGTTGGAAACAACAAATTTAAAAAACTTCCCCAATTTAGTAATAAATATAGCAGCCATTAGGTACAGTCACTGATAAAGGTAACATGGCTGTAGTACCAATACTACAACCACATTACCTTTCTTCATACCTGCCTACAGAACCAGATCATCCCCAAGGGACTACAGTCCACATTTAGGCCTTCCCAATTTGGCACCAAACACAACAACCATTACATTCAGAACATTGAGATCCTTAGTAAACCAGGTACAGTCACCACTAACAACTCAAACCATGAACAAGTTACATGGTTTTAACCATTCATAAGGTCTTGATTAGATACATAAGTGAGTTAAATCATTTTCATAGCACTCACTGAAATATTTGAAGGTTTACTTTGAGCTCAAGCTGCATTCATCAGGGTGAAGGTAGTGTTCTGTGACAAAACATCTGTAATACAAGTAGTAAGTTAGGACAATAGGTCAAAAGGGTCATGGAAACATACAAAAAAAGTGTAAGAAATATTACTTTAGTACCAACGTTAAAACAATATTTAACTACAGTGCTAACATTTGATAAAGTTGCTCTGATGTTACCAATCACAATTTGACACCAGCATTGTGCTCCATAGAAATGTTGCTAAATCAGATACAGCAGTAAAACTGAGCAGCGACCGTCAATGGAAACAGGTTCACTCTGGGCTCCTGTTTTGACCACATGAGCTACAGGACCAGCTCAATGCAGCTTCGATCAGGGCCGGGCTTTATAACGCTCAATACAGGAGAGCCATCTTTATAGAACTAGGTAGAAGATAAAAGACTTACAGCCACCACCTTTGTCCAAGTCAAGGCCTCCACTGAGTGGGCTAGCCACCCTGTAGGAGGGCAGGCATGGGGGTAAAGACTACTGCCTTATAACATCTCACTTAAAAAGTTAAATCAACAAAAATAATTATGAGAAGCATTCTATTGATATTTCAAGAATACACTGATGACAGTTTTAAATCATTATTAAGTGTATAAAATAATGGATGGCACTGGATTATCCACCCAAGCCCACACACCGCCATCAGCAGCAACATCAATGGAGAGAACACGCCGCCTGAATGCGGGTCTTTTATTGGCTGATGGTCCCGCGCATTGATTGGTCAGTCGGTGCCACCTGACCATACGGCGCCACTGCGCCTGCGCTGCTCCTGCTGCACGACCTCTCCCCTCCAGACGTAGGCATTGTCGTCTGTCGGCTATGGGACCGCCCTTTTCCTGGCGTCATCGTGACGGCGCAATCTCATTTTGCAAAATCGGAGCAAAACCATTTTGTAAACCCAAAGAGACAGGCCCGGTCGTCAAAGTCTGATTTAGTGACGGGGAATGGCCGCGTGCGTCTCTAAGAACGGATGGACTACTAATCCCAGAGTGCTCTGCGGGCGGGTAACCGAAGGTCATGTGACCCCTGGGACGGATCGGGCCTGTATTCACCAAGGAGCCTGAGGCCTGGCCTGGGCCCAGCCGCTATGTTCTCCATCACCAACTGGTTGGGAAAGCATAGCCAGCCCGAACATACGGCGTCCGTGGAGGAGAGTCTGCTGTTGACACCGGGGCTGGACGATTTGGAACAGTCGCCCAGAGCGGAGCCCATCCTGGAACAGGCCCGAGGGATGGGAAGTGAGTGACAGTGACAACAACAACAACAACAACAACAACAACCTGCATCCACCCCAGAGATAAACTCCACATTAAATAATTTTTTTTTTTAAGAAAACCCACGGGTTTGCTAGAAAGATCATCAAAGATAAATCTATGTAGATTCATTAACAAACACAGAAATGCTGGAGGAACTCAGCAGGTCAGTCAGCATCTGTGGAGGGAAACAGAGTCCATGTTTCGAGTCCAGAACAAAATTTATAAACCTGCCTCTTTTCCCGAGGATGGGAGATTTCAAGACTAGGGTGCACGGTTTTAAGATGAGAGGAGAGAGAAGGTGCAAATGTTTCACATAGAGGGTGATTCGTGTATGGAATGAACTTCTTGAGGAAGTGGTGGATGTGGGAACAATTACAATGTTTAAAAGACATTTGGATAGGTACATGAATAGGAAAGGTTTGGAGGGAGATAGTAGGAACTGCAGATGCTGGAGAATCCGAGACAACAAGGTGCAGGGCTGGATGAACACAGCAGGCCAAGCAGCATCGTAGGAGCAGGAAGGCTGACGTTTCGGGCCTAGACCCTTCATCATAAAAGGGGGAGGGGAAGGGGGTTCTGAAATAAATAGGGAGAGAGTGGGAGGGGGATAGAAGATGGATAGAGGAGAAGATAGGTGGAGAGGAAACAAACAGGTCGAAGAGGCGGGGATGGGGCCAGTAAAGGTGAGTGTAGGTGGGGAGTTAGGGAGGGGATAGGTCAGTCCAGGGAGGACGGACAGGTCAAGGGGGCGGGATGAGGTTAGTCGGTAGGAGATGGAGGTGCAGCTTGAGGTGGGAAGAGGGGATAGGTGGGAGGAAGAATAGGTTAGGGATGCAGGGACAAGCTGGACTGGTTTTGGGATCCTCTGACACTTCCGCCATCTGCAATCCGACCCCACCACCAAAGACATCTTTCCCTCCCCACCCTTATCTGCTTTCCGGAGGGATCACTCTCTCCGTGACTCCCTTGTCCGCTCCACACTCCCCTCCAGCTCCACCACACCCGGCACTTTTTCCTGCAACCGCAGGAAGTGCTAGACCTGCCCCCATACCTCCTCCCTCACCCCCATCCCAGGCCCCAAGAAGACTTTCCACATCAAGCAGATGTTCACCTGCACATCTGCCAATGTGGTATACTGCAACCGCTGTACCCGGTGTGGCTCCCTCTACATCGGGGAAACCAAGTGGAGGCTCCAGGACCGCTTTGCAGAACACCTACGCTCGGTTTGCAATAAACGACTCCCCCTCCCATTCCTCAGATGACATGTCCATCCTGGGCCTCCTGCAGTGCCACAACGATGCCACCCGAAGGTTGCAGGAACAGCAACTTGTATTCCGCTTGGGGACCCTGCAGCCCAATGGTATCAATGTGGATTTCACAAGTTTCAGAATCTCCCCTCCCCCTACCGCATCCCAAAACCAGTCCAGCTCGTCCCTGCCTCCCTAACCTGTTCTTCCTCCCACCTATCCCCTCCTCCCACCTCAAGCCGCACCTCCATCTCCTACCGACCAACCTCATCCCGCCCCCTTGACCTGTCCGTCCTCCCTAACTCCCCACCTACACTCACCTTTACTGGCACCATCCCCACCTCTTCGACCTGTTTGTTTCCTCTCCTCTATCCATCTTCTATCCACCTCCCACTCTCTCCCTATTTATTTCAGAACCCCGTTCCCCTCCCCCTTTTCTAATGAAGGGTCTAGGCCCGAAACGTCAGCCTCTCTGCTCCTACGATGCTGCTTGGCCTGCTGTGTTCATCCAGCCCTGCACCTTGTTGTCAAGGTTTGGAGGGATATGGGCCAGGAGCAGGGAAGTGAGACGAGCTTAGTTTAGAATTATGTTTGGCGTAGACTGGTTGGACCGAAGGGCCTGTTTCTATGCTGTATGACTTTGTCTGCAGCTGAGACTACCTTTGTCTCCCCTCATTAGTTGTGGATTTTCACAGAATTGTGAGGATGCAGAAGGAGTCCGTTTGGACCATTGTGTCTGTACCAGCTCCATAAATGTGTATTATGACTTCGTGCAAATGCCTTTTCCCTGTAACCCTGCACATATTCCACCAGTCATTCTATTGTCTTGTTTGCTGTTCTTAACAATTTACTGTATCTTCTGCCTTTTCATTTTTGATCCATTTGCAAGTGACAACATTTTCCCCAATCAACTCTGACCCAACCTCTAATGATTTTGAAAATTTCTTTCAAATCTTCTCTTACCCTCCTTCTCCCCCAGGAAAACAGCCCCAACTTCTCTAATCTATTTGCAAAGTGGATGTCCCTTGTCTCTGGAAGCATTCTAGTCCTCGTCTGCATTCTGTCCCATGTCCCAAAAGACTCGTGGCTTATATTTAGATTCACAGATTGGTTACAGTACAAGAGGCCATTCTACCTGTCACGTTTGGTCCAGCTTTCTGCAAGAGCAGTTCATTCAACCCCACCTCCTCTCTTTCCATAAAGCTGCAAAACTTCTTTTTTCCATTTATTTATTTATCCAATTTACTTCTGAAAGCGAACAGTAAATCTGCCTGCACTGCACTTGTCAGGCAATGCGCTCCAGGTCCTGACCACTCACTAAGTAAACAAATACTTTTTCCCTTCTCCTTGTGCCTCAGTTCATTCTTTTGCCAATCATCTGTGCCCTCTGGTTCTAGACACTGGTGTCAGTGGAAACAGTGTGTCTCAATGAGGGAATCTGAGGAGGAACTTTTTTTGTATAGTGAGTCATAATGATCTGGTTCTCGTTGTTCGCTAAGGTGGTGGTAGGCAGAAACAATTAATGATTTCAAAAGGACGTTTTATCAGCAGTGAAAAAAGAAATTAAACTGGCAAAGGTATGGAAGGTGGTAGACTAGACTGGGTTGCTCCACAGGGAAATGGAGTGGATTCTTTGGCCAAATGACCTCTTTCTGCAAGGTGAACAACTCTAGGCCCTTTGTGATTTTGAACATCTTTGTTAAACCGACTCTCAACCTTCTCTTCAGAGAGAACAAGCTCCAATTCTCCAATCTATTCGTGTACAGAAGTCCCTCATCCCTGGTACCATTTTCATAACTCTTTCAGTATTCTTTCAATGTCCTTTTCATCTTTGCTAATGCTCACCAGCCTAGTGATTCTGGTTTGTCGAGCTACTGATATGCAGCCCGTTATGTTTGCTGGACAGTTGTGAATGATTTGATTTGATTTATTATTGTCTCATTAACCGAGATGCAGTGATAAGTATTGTTTTGCATGCAATCTAGATGAGTCATACCTTGCGTAACTACATCAGGATAATAGAACAGAATGTAGATTATAGTGTAAAAGCTGCATTGCATTTCCAGAATGTGTGCGTTGAATTACAATACAGGTACAACTAACTAAATAGCTTGAATAATCTTTCAGCAATATCCCAAACCTCTTATTTCAAGCTGATCCTGTGTGGATGTATTCAGTCTCAAGGCTGTGCAGGGGAAAGGGGGTCCAACAAGAAAAGGAAAATTGTTTTCTTTAAGGAACCTTGATTTACATGGTTCAGTGCTCATGTATCAAAATCGTAGTGGGGTAAAGTGTGCTGTGAAAGGCTTTGCTTGAGAACGTGACCAGTTTGGTAACGTTAGCTAATTTATTTACTAGGCAAGTGGATGCTCTGGGTCTGCCTGAATTGACTTGCGCGTGCACTTCACTGAGCTGGTCGAGTGGCTGTTAAGATCAAAGTTGGCTGCTGCTTATAGAATTATTGTGTCATACAGCATGCAAACAGACCCTTCGGTCCAACTCGTCCACACCGGCCATATTTCCAAACTAAACTAGTCCCACTTACCTGAGTTTGGCCCATATACCTTCAAACCTTCCCTGTTTATGTACTTATCCAAAGGTCTTTTAAACCTTGTCGCTGTACCTGTATCCACCGCTTCCTCTGGCGGTTCATTCCACACACTAACCACTCTCTGTATTTTGAAAGAATGTTGCCCCTCCTGTCCTTTTTACTTTTTTCTCCTCTCACCTTCAAAATATGACCCCTAGTTTTGACTCCCCCACCTTCAGGAAAAGATCTTTACTATTCACGTTATTTATGCCCCTCGTGATTTTATAAACCTCTATAAGGTCACCCCTTAACCTCCTACACTCCAGTGAAAGATGTCCCAGCCTATTTTTATACCTCAAAACTTCCATTTCCTGCAACATCTTGGTAAATCTTTACTGAACCTTCTCCCGTTTAGTAATATCACTCCTATAGCAGAGTGACCAGAACTGCACACAGTACCCTGGAAGAGGCCTCACCAATGTCCTGTACAATCTCAACATAACATTCCAACTCCTATTCAAAGGTCTGAGCAATGAAGGCAAACGTGCTAAACACCCTTTTAACCACCCTGTCTACCTGTGACACAAATTTCAAAGAATTCTGTACCTGAACCCCTATGTGTCTCTGTTCTACAACACTACTTAGTG